ACTTGGAGGAGCCGCGGAGCAAGGAGAGAAAAAACACTGAGCCGCCGTCGACTCTTACAAATGTGAGGTTGTTTTTCTTTTCTCTGCAAACAAAGAGAGTCTAAATGGAGGAAGATCAGAGTAAGAACACCTTGTTTGGGAGAAATATACTGAAGAGAAGCTCTGAACACAAACGTGAGATGTAAGGGATGGAGCTTCTTTTCATTTATTCCTCCTCTGTCCGGTCGTCCACCGGGACCTTCACCCAGATTCCTGTCATTCTCCACTGAAGGTATTGGTCTCCAGCCGCACAGCCAGGCCTCCATCTGCCCATGAATAGGACCAGTCACATTTCTGATAGCATTTAATGAAAAATCCACCCGGGCTTTGGAGAGGCCGGGAGAGGAGGGGAGGGGAGGGGAGGGGAGGGGGATGAAGGGTGGATATGGAGGAGGGAAGGGGCAGTGGGGGGGGGGGAGTTGACACAGGAGTGCTCAACAAAGAACGTCTTTCAGTGGAGCGTAGATTACTCCCTCTCCCTCCTCGCTCGCTCATTTTGTCTTTTTTTTTTTGATTCAACGTCAAAAATGTGCCAAATGACTGAGCAGAAAACCCCAGAGGTTTTCAATGTGTGTGTGTGTGTGTGTGTGTGTGTGTGTGTGTGTGTGTGTGTAAAGCGTCACACAAAGGGACAGGTGTCTTGCGGTTTAAGGTGGCAGCCGTGTTGGGGACACAAAGGTGAAAGCAAACAATCGCTGAGGCCTCATCGAGCGAAGGTGCTCTCCTGAAACCAGCGCAAGAATCCGGAGCTTGTTTCTGCACAAACGTAACGACAGCAATGATAAAAGATACGATTATTCAATATCCCTAAAACCTTTAAACACTGGTGACACTTTCTGCGTTCCTGTTTCTCTGTGGCTGCATCCACTCCGTGTTTAACGTTGTTGTCCTGGTGTCCACACTGGAAAACGCCCCAATTCTAGTTTTAAAACTCGACGGGCAGAAACTGAGACGTTTGGAAACTACGGCGGTTCTCATCAGACACGACTTGTTCCAACTCACCTTCGGTCCAAGAAAAGAAAACCCCTTGTCTCACTTTCCACCACAGATGAATCTAGTCCCTCGTCTTATTTGTAAGAGACTGTCTGCTTCCTGTTTACATCACCACGCACATGTCCAGTGGTCATGTGATATATGCTTTTAGTTGTGCATAGTAAAAAGTTAAAAACAAAAAAAAAAAAGAGGGACAGAGATTCCGGAGCTTTTGGCGATAGGGGACAATTTATATATCACGTCCTGTATCACGCTTTCCAGGTTACGTCAGATTTGCACAATCTCCTGCTGCGCTCTTCAAATGTGAAAGACAAACCCAGAAAATAATATGACGACACTGTCAGCTCTTACTCTGTATAAAATCCTCAACCCTGAGAGGAGCCTTCTCTCCTCCCTCCTCTGACAGCAGAGAACAGGCGGCTGCCTTCACTCCACATTTCCTCAGCGCACACAGCCATCACTGTGATCGCAGCAAAGCAAACAGCAGCGCGGCCTTGTTTGAGTTTGCTCTTGTTCTCCTTGAAAGAGGTCGGACTCAAACCCTCTCGTTTGCTGCCTGGTTTATCTTCATTCAAACTAAGAACCACAAACTGCTCAGGGCAGGTTTCGCTAATAGAACACAGCGCATTGATCCTTTTCTTTGCTCTTATCTAAAATGTTAATCAATACCCCAAGAGCCAGTGGCTGCTCTTTAACGGAATGTGCAACAGCTGAGCCGCTCGAGCCTTCACAGTTTCCTCAGACGCTCGGGTGTATTTTCTTTTATCTGGTGAGTGGATGAGTGACTCTTCTGTTCTGTTGACGACAGCTGAAGGGTTTTGTTGTAAAAATATGAAGACATGTTTTTTTAAGATGGGGATTGTTCAAAAAGAAAAATACTCCCTTAAGAAACCTGTGGACATTTTACTTTCATAATAAAAGTTCTGGCTTTTAGTTTTTCACACATTCTGACTAGTTCCCTGCTCGTGTGGCTGCACAAATTGGTTTCTTTAATTAATTTAGCTTATTTTAACTTTAACGACACAGCAACACATACATTGATGACGCACGACAGCCTGTACCAATTAAATTTGGCCCCAATTAACGATTAATAATATCAGAATCCTCATAATATACGATATCGATTGATCGTACATGTGTTTTCGAATACTTTTTTAATGTGATCTTGGCTCAGCTGCAAATCGGGGACGCAATTTCTCACTAAACTCAATTTATTCCCTTCAGCATGTTTTTTATATTTGTAGCTGGCGTCACAACTCGTCCATGTAGACATTGGCTCCACGTTGTATGGAGCGATGTTTATAAATAATTTTTCTAGTTTATGTAACATGACTCATTATTTTCCTCCAAATACGATTTAAACTTCAAAACTCTGAGGATACGTCAACGCTTCCCATCTGGTAACGATGGAACAAATATTAACGTCATGGTGACACTAGAGGAAAAGTCGCAGGATTATCAAAGTCGGTATGATTCATCATCTGAGGATCACGAATGTTTGTGGTAACTTTCATGTTAATCCAGCAAATGGTTGTTGAGATATTTCAGTCTGGACCAACAAACCAATCCTGGCATGTCTGAAAGTGACTCACACAGCTCATCAAATATTTAAATCTCTGCCTGTTAATTATTTTCTGATTGAACATATTGAACTGCTTCAGCTGCAAACGTGTAGATACCGCTCCGTGTTTCCCCACAGAGCAGGAACCCTGGGTGATGAGGTTATCCGTGTCTCTGAGCTCCTCTGCTGCAGGACGCCCAGACACAGGAGGCCTCTTTCTGCTCGTTGCTCCTGAAAATCATCCGTCTTGTAATCTGTCCATTAATCACGGTCACAATCGTCAGGTGAACAGTCGGCTCCGGTAGCTGCGACAGTGATGATTTTTTTTAGCGGGGGGCCTGGGAGACTGAGCTAAAAACGTACAGGACACGATCGCCAAAACTCCAAAAGGAAAGAAATGAGGCCGATTTTTTTTTTGCTGCAACTGGGATGCAGAGTTACAGTTGGAGTTCGGGGGGTGTGGGGGGGGGGAGAGAAGCCCGCAGTCCATGTGCTCGGCTGAATGATGATTAACTGTAATTACCTAAGCAGTACCTGGCCTGCATGCCAGGAGGCAGCCCAAGATTAATGGGGCTCTGCTGAAAACGGAACAAAAGCTCACGTTTCCGAGGTAATGAATCGCTCTGGTACTAAGGCGTCTTCACACGGAGCGCCCGGGCCCCCGGGAGGTTCATTACAACGGGAGGAATAGATGGATCCTCTGCAGCATTTTCAAACGGGGGAGAGAGCAAGAGGAAGTCTTAAATTGTCCCAGACATCCTGGTTGCTACACGGCTTCAACATCCAGAGGAGATAAACAGCCTCCTCTGTGCTTCTTAAACGGGCGTTAAACGCTACACAACAAACTGCCTCGTTTGCCTGGTCGCACCCGCACACGAGGCGTTTCAACAATAAAGCTCGACGTGGTGTAAACCGGTTAAGTGATGAAGATAAATTTGACGGGGTTGATACCTTTAAGGACTGAAGGACAAAGACCTGCAGTGAATTACCGACCCTTTTTAACAGACGACTCTTACGGAGCCGACACGCCACTCAGCATTATCTGCATCGACGGAAGCAGGTTTCGTTCGTACAGGAAGCACAGTGTGGTGAAGTTTGCCTGGAGGGCAAAGTTTTATTACAAGTGTCTCCTGTTATAAATCACTGTCCGACGAATAACCAACAGATTAATGGCGACATTATTTGGTTGTAAAGGTTAATTTATGGTTTTTGAGAAATGAGGGTGAAGAAAGCCGCTGGACGGCGTGTGAACGAGGCCCCAGCGAGGTTAGCATGAGGAGCTCTGCAGGAACGAGGCCCGGTGATGTATGGAGACTGGCGTCAATTATTGGAAGTCAAACTCCTCGAGGCAACAATGAGAGGATTTACAGGCCGCTACATTTTTCATGCCCTTATACACGTTACCTCTGGATATGTAGGTCGATAGCGAGATGAAATACAAGCTGACTGGAGGTTTTATTGTTTACAGCGCTCACAGCCCACATACATGAAGCCCTCTCCTCACGTAAATACTTGGAGGAAATGCAGGTTGAGGCATGTCCAGCTGTGCATCGCGTTGTGTGCAGAGCTGCCTCGAAAGCCCAAAGGCCTTTTTTCTTTTTTTTTTTTTGTTGTTTACAAGCCTCTAATCATGTTAATGACACTGTGCTCACACGCAGGCCACTTCTCAATCGATCACAGTGACGAAGAGCAAAATAAAGTGACAACGCTGAGAATCTGTGCCTGAGCACGTCCGAGGGAGATGAGAGGAGATGTGAGATTCAACCTTTAAAGTGCCATTCATCAGGGAGGACAACAAAAGGGAGTCAAAGCCATTATCCTCCCCGTCGCCCGGCAGTCTGCGTGTGAACATAAACACACGCGTGTACACATGAAAACCTGCACACATGAATAATGTGTTGAAACTAGAATAAACACAGGGAGGTACATCATGGACGCAGTGTGACACAATAAACAAACAAAAAGATTTCGACTCATCTTAATATTACTGCTACTGTTTAAAACAGGTAGTTTTCTTCTCAGACATTTTCTTTAAAGAAAACGTTTAATAATGTAAATGTTCCTTTTTGTACTTAGAGCTGAGGTTTTATTTGCAGTGACACAACTTATTCATTTAACATTAGGTTTTTATAGTTTTTACTTTTTCACTGCTTATGTTTCTTTGTCTTATTTTCATTCAATGTCCCTCATCTGGTTTATTTCCTCTTTTGAACAGCACCTTGTTGAGAGAGACTTAGAGGAATAACGTCTTTTGGAGTCACAAATATTGTGTTCATGTGATTTATTATGACATTTAACTGCTTTCAGACATGGACCGAACGACTCACAGAAATTCACAGCAGTGGTTGTGTCGATCACGTTTCTAACATGTGACGGACACAATACTGGAAGAATAATGTTTTAAGATCTTTTTATTCTAAGAGGCCACATTCCACTTGTTACCACAGCATCCTGCGGTTTCCTCAAGGTTTGAATCCAGGTTTATTTCTCATTTTAATGATCCATTAAACAATCTAATTAACATAAAAACCTGTGTTTGAACAGCAGAACGAAGGATGTTTAACAGCAGATGATCAGTTTGTGGAGGAGGAGGAGAATAAAGACGTCTGTCCTGCTCGGGTCAGATTCTCCAGCAGCAGGGAGGACAGTGTGGACAAAAGACTAGACGTTCATTTATCTTCTCTATATGACCCTGATGCAGATGAGGAAAATGAAAGCAAGCAATCAATTCCTTAATTGGGTTTATTTTAACTTGTTAAGGGGGCCTCTGTCTAGATTAAAAGGGAAGGTCAATTTCTCATTGTGACAATTACTGTATTCATCTCACAGAGCAACAAAGGGATCCAGCAGGGTCGGGCCGAGACGGACGCAGATGCCTCCTCTATTGTGTGAGTCCTTCCATCACAACATCGTGTTTATCTCACTGTAAACTCATTACGATCTGCGGACACAACACAAAGGTGTGAGAGTGATACATCTACACTTATCTACACTTTCAATGAAGCACACTGTGGGGTCACTTGTTAAATGATCGGTCGTTACTGGTGATTTTTGACAGCACAAAACTCATGTCTTGATATTTTAGAAGGAAGCGAGGAAGCGTCTTATACTTTGTATCACACAGACGCTAACTCCAAGTTAAGTCTTCAATCTCTAGTCAAGTATTTCTCTCCAACAGTAAAAAAAAGTCTGACATTTCTGAAAAAAAAAACCCTGAAGCATGTATTTAAATATGAACACTAAGAAATCCAGCAAACCTTCTCCGAGACGAACAACAACTGTTCTGCCGCCAGAATTTGATTTTAAAATATCTAAATATTGAACTTTTTGCAAAGAATTAAATGAATAAAAGATGAACTTGTACTATTTTGAGTTTCCTGCCAGTTTTAAAATCAGAGGAAAGGCTCCGATTAATTGGTTCAGACTGAAGAAGGGTTCAGACTTTGGCTGAAAATGTCTCATCGTGCTGAGCCACATCAGTCATAAGACAATGTCCCTGCAAGAATTTGTGGGTGAATAAAACATGAACAAACTTCTGTGTTTGAAGTGTCCCTGCTTTAAAGAGGACAAACAGCAGCAGCCCTGCTGGGAAAGTTATGGGGTTGGAGCGAAGGCGTGTGGAGCCGAGCAGCTGCAGAGGAGCATTTATTTTGGCTTCCTGAGAGGCAAATTAGAATGTTGACATACAGCGTGACTCAGCTACTCCCTCTCGTCACATCAACAGTTTATTTACCAGCGCGGAGAAACCACAGAAATTAGAATAAAAATTAGATTATGTGTCCCCGTGCTCACAGAGATGCATTCAATTACCCCGGCTGAAAACTTCTCTTGAGGGGGAGTGTGGAGGGTTTTTGCTGCATGGCCATATATCAAAAAGCAAAGAGTGGGAGAGCAACATGCCGTGTCAGCTGGTTATTTTCTGTTCCTGTGTTTTCTTGTTTCCTTTACCTCCCGTTCGTAGGGGGAGATAAATCCGTTAAAAGCTCTACAAACCAGGCAGCCTTTTTACAAGACTTGTTTAATCTTCCTGGTGTTTGCTTTAGTTAAGTAAGGGATTGGCTTTGTCCGGGGCCGGAGTGGCGGGATGTTGATTCCTGCCGGTTTGTGAACACTAAGCTCTTATCAGTCTTTATCTGCATTTGAACAGGTTTCTAGTGGGCCGACCAATCAGATTAAATATAGACCCATTTTGCAAGTTGGTAATATATCAACCACATGTCCCGGTGCTGCCTGCGGGTTCAAGCAGAGTTCATGTTATTAGTATTACAGGCCTTTCATGCTCTCCGATCTCACACAGATCAAAAGGGCTTTGTGAGGTTTTCCACCATTGGCCAATTAATGCCCACGAGTCCAGCTGCTCGGCCTGGAAGGGCCGGACTAAGCACTTTTCACAGCTAAATGCCAAAACGTTTTCCCCTCCAGTGAAACCTCGTTTTCAGGCAATTATTCAGCTCTTTGGGACGATTTTGTAATTTACACTCTAGACGTTGCATAACAGGAGTCGCAGGAGTGATCCTGATCTGCTCCCAGTGAAATAACAAACCCGCCGGGCTGAAACAAAGCAGGATCTACAGCGAACAGCCCGGAGACAGAGTCAGGGAGCGTGAGGAGATTCAGGCTCAGAAGAAGCTTGTTTAAATGAAATCACTGGTGGGTGGGACGATGAAAAACTCTCATTCTCAAGGTCTCAGGCTTCCTCTGACCTCACGGTGACGTCCCAAAGTACGAAGGTTTGTACGATGAGGACAGAATAATTCTGAATCTTTCTTTAGCATCGAGACTGACTTTATTATTCTGTCATCTTTGGTCTTGTACTGTATAAATTAATGTGTTTTGACGTTATCACACTTGTTGAGGCTTCATCATTCCACCTTTAACAGATTCTCTGAGCATTTCAAAGTTTATAGCTAATGTACATGACGACTGAACTGAGTCAGAACACACCAAAAACATGGACAGTGTCCCTGCCGGTTACTGAACTGATTCAAAAAAAATCACATGGCTCATTTAATGTGCCGTTAGCTACTACTAACTATCACAGCTTTAAATGAAAGAAAATCAATTTGTTGCCCCCAAAGGTAAAGGATAATAGAAATGCTGCCACCTAGTGGTAACTAAAAGTCAACAGAAAACATGTTATATCTCTTCTTTAAAAATGAACTGTTTGAACAAAATCTTAGTTCAGTTAAAAGCACAAATAATCCCTGATGAAACTGCACATAGCTGGAGGTGTCTTCATGTAAAAGGCACATGCTCTTCTATTAGTCAGTGTTCTTTGCATTCCTGCAACAGTGACGGACATCGTGGTGCAAACATTGTCAAGACTGCAACAAAATGTTAAACCCAAACATGATTTTTTTCCCCGCCTGCAGCGGATTGTCACCAAATCTAAAACCAAACAGAGGCCGCACCACAGACTGAGACCTCAAGAGTCATTTCCTACATGTTAGCGTATCCCAGTCGTTTGGTGAACTTGTCCCTGTCGATGTTCTTGTGCTCAGGGACGTGTTTGAAGGTGCAGTCCTGCCTCGTGCAGCCTGTGGTCCTCCAGAAGAAGCACTCCTTTTTGTACAGACTACAGAAAGAGAGAAAACAACTCGTCACTTAAATCACAGGGAGATTTAAAAAAAAAAAAATCATTTTACACTTAATGAGTAAAAATGTACACGGCCAAAGTTTTTTCATTAAGATGTATGAGTGTTCTTACTTAAGTCCACCGTGGCCTTTGATGGGATATCGCACAGTGAGCAGAGCCCCTTCTAAAACCATCCCCTGAAGAGGAGACAGACAGTTTCACATTTTTAACTGCAAGTAAAACTCTCTGCAGCCTTTACAATAAAAACACTTCTTCACTATTTAACTACTTGTATTATGTCTCCTGTGTAAACGCACCAGATATGAGAGCTAAGCAAAAAGTGCAACTGTAAAACTAGGGGTGAAAAACAAGTTAATTGTTTATATTTTATTGATTAAGCTGCTGGTTATTTTCAAGATTCATCATTCCATCCATAAAATATTTACAACGAAGCTTTCTCTTTTTTTGAAAACTGTTTGTCCCACAACTTTTTCTTTCCAAAATCAGTTTAAAGTGACTTGTGAATGTCCCCGTTATTCTGATGGATGGAAAATTAATGAACGCTCACTCTTGGCTTTGTCCTGCTGAGTGTTCATGTTTATTAAGAGTTTGCTGATGTTTGAAATGTCCTAAAAGAACACGACATACATTAAAACACTGGATTGCTCGGTCACAGTCTTCCATTCTTGTGTAGTTAACAAAGGCACATTCGTGTTCCAGCAGCATCTTGATGCTGTAGATCACTCCAACTCTGGGAAAGAAAAAAGAAAAGAAAAAAAGGAGGGTTGTAAGTGATTCGGATGATTTGATCGAATCTTAAATTCAGATTGAACAAAAGTGTGTTGAGAGGCGTGAAGAAGCTCAGACTGTGGTGCTTCACCTGCTGAAGAGCTCATGAAGTAAAGCGTAGGTGACGGCCGGAGCCAAGGAGCCAACCCAAATGGAGAAAAGCTCCCTTTGTGCAAAAGAGAGGAGATAAAACAACAATTTAAAATTATACCACACAGTGGGAACACACTTTAAAATTCAGTTTCAATTCATACTATCTTACAAATACTTAGAACTTACGGTTTCACAGAACCCCTCAAATGACGAGTCGGCGACTCAGATTTCGATCCGTTTTGCAGCGGATCAGAAATCAGACCAGACACTTTGACCTGCTGCCCTCTGGAACGATTTGCTTGTAGGACGGTCCACTCTTCGTCCTCGCCCTCGTCTTCCTGCAGCGAGGGTTCGTCTGTATTGTCCTCGCTGACACCGGCACCTGAAGAGAGCGAACAGACCGAAGGCTCAAGCAACAGGACATCATCAAAGTGTCTTCGCAGATTTCATCTTTTGGAAACACTGATATTTACCTTGAGGAGTATTGTGACCAGCAAACAGAGCTTCCACAGCTTCCTCTAACGTGACGTGAGTTTTCAGGGCCTCGTTGCTCTGTGCCCAGCTGAAGCCCATTTCCTGAATTGAAAGAAAACATTTTCAAGCGCCTAAAACAGAGAACTTTGGAAACGCTGCTGATGTTGGTTTAGTTTGAAAACTTCAGAGCTGCGTTGTTGATGTTAGGAAACGATGATGCATTCATTTTCTGATTGGTTCATTCACAGTTTTCAACCCTGTCACAAATCTAATAAACTCCTTTTAAAAGTAAATGTTTCCTTCTAAACTGCTGTACATGAGTTTTCCTACCATGAGGTGCAGTGTCTGTGCTCGTTTCAACTCTTGCTTGGCTTCAGCACTCGAACTCTCCAGCTGCAGCACCTCCTCATAGATCAGCGAGGCCTCATAGTATCTCTGCAGAAAAAATAAAATAAAAGCAATGAGCAATTTTAAAAGACCAAGTGATAAAACTTGAGTATCTGTGTCTAAAGGCACAGAAAGTACAACAAGTAGCAGTACAGGATAAACAGTGATTTACCTTGAGCCCACACAGAGCTTTCCCCTTCCTGAATAAACCTTTTATCCAGTTTGGCGCCATGCAGAGTGCCAGATCAGCATCTCTGAGAGCATTTTCAAACTGCTCCGTTCTTTCATAACAGAGGGACCGATTTCCAAACAACCTGAAACAAAATAAATTATTAGCAGACGCTGCTTCTGGGTGCTTTAATACAAGCTGCACTAAACTTAGCTCCATGTTCTTACCTGTATTCCCTTGGGTTGAATTTAATGGCGTCAGTAAAGCATTTAATCGCCATCTCAAACTGCCCGGAAGCCGCCAAACGATTGCCTGTACCTGGAAGAACGGTTGTGTTTGTCGAGTCGTTGCTTTCACGTGTTTGTTTTACATCCAAGTATCAGTTTGAATAAATGTTAAAAGGTAAATAGAACTCACCAGCCAGCTCTCTGCTTCTCTTTGCGTGCTCCTCTGCGGTTGGATCTGTTGTTTTCTGTAATTGTTAAAAGGTCAAAGTGAGACCTCTAAGTACAATTTCAGGCTCTTATTGGGAAACATTACATTTGTGTTTCCATCGCTCCCACCTCTTCATTGGCCTCATGTTTCTCCTCCTTTTTCTTTTGAACCACAGGATTTTCCACAACTTTAGGCTTCTCCTCCTTGAGCTGCGGAACTTCCACTAATTTGCTTTTCTGTGCAGGCTTCTGGTTACATGTCTCTTCGGGCACCGATTTAACAGCATATGAATTATTGAAATCCAACTCCTGTGGGCAACAAGACAAGGCGGTTGTTTATGGACAATTCTCTTGTTGATGTGAACATGCAACTTTGCCACTTTCTATTTGGACGCCATCCTCTAAATGAACACAACACAAAGAGAAAACTACATTTTTCACAAACCTTTTCTTCTTCTTCTTCTTTCATATTAATTGTAGCAAGAATTTCTCGTCCAGCAGCCTCGGTTGCATTTGGAGTTTTATCACATTCTGGGGACTTATTTGCTTCTGCATTATTTTCAGTAGAAGGACTTTCTTCCTGAATTTTGGAGGAGTCAGACTTGCCTGATTCCTCCTCCTGAAATATCAAAACAAGTTACATCAGAGCGGCTGTGAAACAGCTTTGAGGTCTGGATTTTATTTCTGAACCTTGAGACTCATTTGTTAATCATTCATAGAAATATGAGAAACACAAGACTTACAGGTAAAATGTTTTGGACTGCATTCTCCTTTTCTACTCGTTTCTTTTCTTTTTTACGCTGGAACAAATAAACTCTTTTGTGAGACATTGCCCCAAAAAAAAAAAAAAAAAAAAAAAATTCAGAATCATGTCAACACTCACCATTTTTTTACGCTTGTTCTTCTCCTTTTTCTCCTTGCATCGCTCGTCTTCTGCTTTTGTTATCATTTCTAGTTTATCAGCCATCTGGGCAGGGGAAAAAAAAACATGCATAGGGATAATGGTTGATTGACGAGCACCGGTTCTCAGCTAGAAAAAGAAAATTCAAAATGTACATCCCTAAGTCCAATAAAATGTTTCTGCCAAATAAGAAGAAATACCCTCAAAGATTTATTGAGAGACAAAAAATGTGAAATCACAACAGTTTGACCACCAAGAAAAATCTAATTATTTCCAGATTCCAGGTGAACTTTTCAGTCAAATTGAAGGGATTTCTTCAGGGAGCTCCTGAGATATTGCATTCTTTAAACCAAATGTGCCTTTTGAGATGTCCACTCTCAGTTCATCAGTGAGTTTAATTAAACCTTCATACCAAAATTTTAGGGGGAAAAGTCTCTCAACCATTCTGAGATATCACATTCACAAGAACGGAACAGACTTAAAAACAAAAGGCCTCCAGCTGCTGCAGAGGCATGAAAATGAAAGAAGTGCATTACCTCATCAGTGAGTTCTGTAATTCGTGAATGTGGCTCTTTAGGTTGATGAGCAGCTTTGTGTGAATAAAAACCATCATCTTCATCATCATCATCATCATCATCACAATCACTGACATCTGAATATGAGAAGTCTTCTTCGGGGTAGAAGGGCTTAGTATCTAAATATAACAAAAATACAGAGTGAACATACACATCGTAGAAACCCTGAAAGACATTTTTAATCATTGAAAATAACACTATTAACAATAATACAATCTAAACGGTTTCACCTTGATTGCAAGGTACTAAATGTGATGATAAATAGAATATCTATTTGATTGCTGCAACATTGACTACAACTGCACAGTGGACTTTGGACTTTATACAAGTCTGAACATTTTCTATGCAGACAAACCTCCACTAAGAAGAGAAGTTAGACAACTGGGATGGAGACAAATGCATCACCAGTGTTTCTGTTTCCAACACTCAACTATGACACAAGTGTACCGCCCACTCCCTGGTCAAAGGTTCCATCTTTAACTCTACCCTCCCCTGTCACTTTGAGAGTCAGTTCAGAAGAAAGCCTTACTGAAGACACCAGTGGATAATATTTTCATGAAGTGATCAGCTCCTTGTATGCGCACCATGTTGGACCTAAGTAAATCGGCCACGGCTTCCTGGAAGAAGAACAGAATAGAATTATCAGTGACTTACAATGCACAATTCAAAGTAGGGCTGAAAAACAATTAGTTGATGATGTTGAAGAATGAAAATTCTGTGGTTAATTCAGAGGAGTTTTATTCACTGGGCAACGGCGACAGATGACACAACAAGGCAATACAATTCTGTATCGTAACAGGAAGGCAACCTGGGCAGGCTAATTTACAACATGGGGAGTTTTAAAGCAGGTATCTGTCAATGATGTAAAACAGTTTGTCTCAGCACAAAGTTTAATGTCATGAAGACAAGAAGGAACTTGATGTAGATGCATGAAGAAACTGAAAGTACTCACTTGACTGAAAGGAAAATTCACAAACAAAAACTAACCAACTAACTAACTTCGTTTAGAAGAAGACAGAGAAATGACCAGTAAGTGGATCTTTGAGTTAACAGATGGAAATGTTTGAGACAATAAAACAGGGATGACATTTTATTCTATTCTATTATAATAATGATCAGGAAATTGAATTCGTTACACGTCACCAGTAATTGTGCTGTGGAAAGTACACCTGACGACGTGTTGCCAGGAGGACTCACAAAACCAGAAAGACCGGTTTGTGTTCCCACTTCACAATAAACACAAAGTGTGAGTCCAACTCGTGACAAACTTACCTGTAACATCGAAGCGTCAACGTTGTCCCCGGGTGTTTGAGCCGCACCTGACCGGAAGAGACCCGGAGTCATTAAAACACGTTTCACCCACAGCAGCGTTAGCTACCTAGCTAGCTAACTGGGAAGCTAACTAGCATACTTTGCTGGGCTAGCTCTCAGGAACAGAAACTCAGCGCTAAGCTAACGAAGCTGCAGCCTAACCTTACCTTGACCCTGGTGCCTCCGTCCCGCCATAGCGCCGCCTGGTGTCTGTGTGTATTTAAGTGTAATTAGCTTGTTAGCCGGATGTTGTTGTAAGGATCCACTTCTTCTCCGCTCAGATAAATACACAGGTCGGTGTCCCGCCTCCTGAGTAGCGCCACCAATGAGCGGGCTTCGTTCTGGTTCAGGGGCTCTGATTGGGTGTCTCGCCTGTCAGTCACAGTAAAGAGGCGGGTTGTTAATAACTGAGGAAACAGGATTATTTTATATATATTGAATTATTTTATATAACAATATATATATATTAATAACAGGATAATATATATATATATAAATTAAAAGCTTTTCTTTCCTTTTGCATTTCGAGAATAAAGTTAAAATGTCATGTGAATTTGTTCTTCACTTGTATGATTTCTCTTTTTTAATTTACATGTTCAAAATGAATGATTTATCATCATTACTAGTAGTAGTAGTATTTTTATTATTTGTATTGTCTTAACATTTCTAAAAAACAACCATCAGCCTCTCTCTTTCTTTTTTTTCTTTTTTTTTATCGCAGCGGAGTGGTGCATCTGTCCAACAAACGATCTTTGCTATCCTCCAATTTCAAATCCGTCCTCGCGCGAGCTCAGCCCCCTAGCGACGCTCCATGGTTACGAGCAGCAGGAAGCGCGCTCACGGTGGCGGGCTGGGAACAACAACAACAACATGAACATGAACGCGGAGCCTCCGCAGGTAGTTTGTGTCTCTAACTCAAATGTCCTTTTGATAAAAGTCACCCGGTTATCGAGTCGGTCCTCGGGTAACTTCTCACGGAAGTCCGGGTCACGGTTAGCCAGCGGTGGCGTCTGACAGCGGCTAGCTAGCTGCTTTGCTAGCTGCTTTGCTAGCTGCTTTGCTAGTCCGTTAGCGAACTCAGTGGCCGACAAACAGTCTGTTAAAGTCTTTGTTGGTTAGAGGATCGTTTGTGTTATTGGTCGGGAGGTCAGAGTCTGTGGGTTAACCAGGTTAAAGGTTCTAAATGTTTCTCACCAAGTTAGCTCACAGCTAACCTGTTGCTCCGAGCTGACTTTACAGGTCCAGTGTGCAACATGTCGCTGAAAGGATGTTTCTGAATATTAAATAATCCTGTCGATGTTTTCACTCGTGAGTTTCATCTAATTCGTTTCTTTTGTTTTGTTTTTACAGTATAATGGACCTTTTATATTTAAATACTTTATATTTACATCAGCAGTGGGCCCTTGGTACGGAGGCCGCCATGTTTTTTTTTTTTACAGTTGCCCAATCTGGACAAACTAAACAGATTGTAATCTTGTGATTTTAAAAAGTGCTAGAGAGCTAAAGTATAAGATAAAAAATATGTGTTATTAATGTTGTGGAAAATCTGCTGATCAATGGTCAACTCATCAATGAAGAAAGCGTTCAGGATATTTATTGAAGCTTGGCCCAGGAGAAAATCAGAATTCATCCACACAACACCTGTGCATGATGCTCTCTCATCTTCTGAAGGCTGCTTTCCTGCAGTCACACTTTAAACCCCAACAGATCATTGAATCTATGGTTGTGCTTGTTCCTAAACAATCAAATGTATTTTCTAGTGATGAGACAGTAGTGCCTTTTTACGCAGTCTCATATCTGTGATGTCTAGGGAACGAAGGCTTTGACCTTCGCCAAGCTCTCGCACTTCCCAAACACAACAGCCTGTTGCACTCAGCCCCAGAGAGGACAAGAGAGACCGTGTCTATGAAAATTCCATGACAATTAATAATAGAATGGATGTGATGAATGAAATAAATAAGTCTTGATGAGCAGACTGATCTAGTTTCATGAGGAGAGCCGTGACATGAAGTGACAGACGCTGACAGGGAGGACGTCCTGTAGTGAATGTTCTTTACTGTCTGACCCGCAGGTTGTAGAGAACGTGCAGGACATCGTTTTAAGCTTCCAAAGAAACTGCAGAGTTTTCTCATGTTTAATGTTACACAGCTGTGAGAAATGGCACTGACAGTAACGGTGTACGACCTTGTTTGGTGATGCGGTTCACAGAGAGTGGAGGCATCTCTTCAGCTGCCAGCCGATAAAGATGTGAGTCAGTCTGTCGGACAGTCCTCCATCAATCCTGGAGCCAGACAGGACCAGAGGCAGCCCAGGCTGGAAGCAGATGATCGGGAGCCTCTACAGGCCAGTGGACACGCTTTGGAGCTGGGTATGTACATTCAATAAAATAAGTTCACTCTCTTTCCTCCCCTCTTTAAATAATATATTGAATACAATTCGATGATGCAGAATTGATGTATTACCTTAAATCTGTGTTGTGACTCAGAGAATAAAATATATTCTTCGCAGTATGTATTTATATAACTGTATCTGTCTCATTCTTTCATGGTGCCCGTGTACGTGTGGAAAACTTAATTTAAATTTCATGACTTTTAAATAATTCATCACAATGTATTCCATTGTAATGGGTAGTTTGTGGCAGTGAGTGTTTGCATATGTTAACTTTGAAGGATTTCCGATTATGTCTTAAGTTAAATGCATGTTCATGTTGCGTGTGGATAACGTTCAGTATTTTCTGTGTCTTCAGAATTTCAAGACAGTAACTTGTCTCCAGCTCTTTCCCTCTTGCCTGTAAACTCTCGAGTGGACCACAACTTCACTGAATATTCTTTATTCCAACAAAGTGAAAATGAATTTGCTCCTTTAAGGTAAAAAACTATTAAAAGTTGATTATTGGATGTTTGGACATTATGGATGGATGTTTCTACATTAAAGTATGAGAAATAAATTTTTTTATTACTCAATGTGCTTTTTCAAGGGCGTACCCTGACATGTCCATGGCATCAGAGAGATTTCACTTTCCGCCCCAGGATCGCACCACTCAGGCCTCCGAGCGTGGCTCACTGTCCCAGCACCCTTTGGCCCATGCAACCATCCTTTCTGAAGAAGGAACAAGCAGCCTCTGCTCACTGTCCCAGCACAGTTTGCCACCAGGGGACGACGACCGAGAGGCATCTAGAGGTGATGGTGGTCGCAGAGAGAAGCACTCTCAGACACTCACCGACCTTAAAAACAAGCTCGCAGGAGAGGCTGTAGAAGATGACACCTTCTTTCTGAGAAAGGACATCCCTGCCCAGCATCTTCTGGACATCCTTCAGAAAGAGGTAGGCATGCCGAGCAGCAGCAGTAGTGCGGTGTCCTCTGCCTCTGAGATGTCTGTGAAGAGCATTGCATCTTATGCCCAAGAGTCTAAAAGCTCTAAAATTGAATCAGGAACTCACCAAAGCTTTGCTAGAAGAGAAGGTCCACCTGGTGAAGCTTCTCTGCCCCAACAGCAGACGCAGCAATCTGACCCGTCCCAAACACTGTCATCTGAGGTCTGTAACATCACCATGGGTTCCCGCAGCACTCTACCTGATGACAGCAGCGAAGTGTTGTACAGGGAGCTGCTGTCTGAGGCTGAGAGGCACCGCAGCAGAGAAGCTGGATCAGTAAACCAACAGCAGAAAAGTGCTTCACCACCTAGTCAGTTTCTAACTGAGACATCCAATAGCAAACCAAGTGTGACCCGAAAAATTCTGAATGACCCGCCATGGACCGGGCCGTCTTCATCAGGTGTGGAAAGATTGCACAGGGAGCAAGACCTCTGGTCCTCAGGGAACCAAACAGGGATCGATGGGTCCTACCTGGGTTTCCTTCCACAGTCTCAGTCCACTCCAGGGGTTTTCAAGGCCCCACCCAAATCCAGTGTCAAGGCTACATTGGGAAAACTGTCAGCCATAGAATCTGATAAAGACAGCTCGAATCAATCAAGGACAGGGATCTCTCCACAGCCGGCTGTTCCTGAGCCTGACGTCCATGGTCCAGACTCAGCAGATCAGTGCCACGAGGAACATACCTCCGCAAAAGTCCAGTCTCTTCCAAGTCTTAACTACATGCAGAAAGTAGACGCTTGGAGGGAGAATCAGAGCTCTGGCAAAACGTCACTGTTTGACAGTCTGGCACTGCAAGGATTTTCTGGTGTCTCGCCTAAAAAGAAAGCTTACGACGTAGTATCTGACTCCTTGAATCGCATCCTCAGTCAGCAGGTGAGGAGTGTACAGCAGCCTCTTGTTTCCAGTGCTCACAACGAGAATGTCCCGCAGAAATCCTCTGCAGCTCCTTCTGGCTCCTCCTCTCCGAGAAGAGGGGAAGCAGTGGGCAGTGCGCCCAGTGACAAAGATAACACTGGGTCTGCAGCAAGACCCTCCAGCTCACCCTCCGGCAGGTCGCAGTCCCACTCCTCTCTTAGCACAGTCGTCATGTCGGCCCAGAAAGAAAATGAGAAGAACGACGAGGTTCATCGTCGTCAGCCGAGTGCCTCTGCTCAGCCCTCACCTCTCGTGAACCTTGGTCAGTTCAGCGACGTATCAGTTGATGTGACACTTTCAAGTTCCCAAGATAGTTACAACAATGGAGTTAAATTAGGAACTTCTCTAGGAGCTTCTTCTGTCACCAGCCTGGAGGTGGATAATTATGCCCCGTACTGGACTTCTAAACTGTCGACAACACCCCCTCTGCCCGAACCTCGAGAGCTCAACATTGAAGAACGAATTCCGGTAATTGAAAAACTAAAAAATGTTTCTTTAAAATATGTTTTGGACTGGAACAATTGATCATCAACTCCAGTTGTAGCAGTTGATTTTATGCTTTGCAGTGTATATAGATTCTGTCTGATTCTGTTGTGGTGCTCTTTTTGGTTTCCTCTGCAGTTGTACCTCCACAACCTGGGTATCGACCAGTCTCCCGCAACAATATTAACTCCTTTTGCACCCAGAGGGCCAATCAGAGAACCTGAATTCTCCCCCACTGATCTCTGTACAATTAAAGGATCGATTGGAACCCCGACCAGGAGCACCCAACCCTCTGAAGGTAACTTATGAAATAAAAATGAAAAGAATAAAATGCATGTAGAATCTTTCATCCAATACTAGATCAGCTTTAACTGTTTTGCAAATGTTCATTTTAATAACCAATAAAGATGTGGCTAATACAAAAACTTATATTTACAGGTGGCAGTCCACATAAAGGAGAGTTTTCCAGGTGTAGTATTCTGTCAGTGGACTCTAGTGTTTCCATACCGTTTAGTCTGGACAGTCTTGGTCCGGCCATGTCGATCCCAGAGCCGACCAAGCGAGCATCTCCTCCAACTGATGCTGAAGCTGCCCAGACTGAATGCAGACTGACACCTGCCTCAAAGCGGGAAGACGACTCCCTCTCTTCCACATTGGAACTCAGCCAGCAGCAACAGAAGGACGGCACTTTAACCAGCAGCCAGAATACTTTCCTGCCAGGAGAGAGGTTTGACTCTGACCTCTCATCTATTACCCAGGCGAGGAGCGGGGAAAGAGATTTGGAGTCTCCTTTACAGACAAGTCGTAGTTTGGGGAAAAGTGCAGAGGATTCTTTTGTGAGCTCTAAGGCCTTGTTGGAGATCCATAATCTACTCTCTCAGGCGGATAAAGTGTCGTCTGCTGGGTCTTCTGGAGCTTCCTCAGCCTCCCCTGCAGCTCGTCTGCTGTCTGATGACGACATACTCCTCTCCTTGAGGAGGAAAACCAGTAAAGTCCAGGAGGCCTTCTCTGGAACTGAAGACCCCAGAACTCCTTCCTCCTCGCTGTGGGCCAGGTCGTCATCTGATTCCATGCTTACCTCAGAAAAACCAAGGCAAAGCTCTTTAGGTCGAGAAAGCATGACCTCATCATGGCAGTCTGATAATCCTTCCACACAATCTCTAACTACTGCACGTGCTGCAGGTTCAACCCTTGTTCTCTCCAAATCCGCCCGACGGGCGGAGCCTGAAGGCTGCAGTGCTGCACCTCCTGACAACAAAGTCCCAACACAACCACCAGCCATCAAGTCTCCACCAGCTGTGAACACACAGCAGCTCATCTCTACATCTGCAGAGACGGCAGCTGTACTAGAGGTGGAAGAAAGGCCTGCGCCTGGAGGTCCTGCACAGAGTCGCTCCTCGTCGCCCGCTCCCGAGGACACAGATCAGGGAGCGTTGAGCGACGAGAGCAGCGAGAGCTCGCTGGCAGTCAGAGTGGCCAAGTTGCTCCAGAGTGAGTCTCCAGCCACCATGATGTCCAGTACACCCAGCATCACTGATCAAGAGGAGAGCAGGGCCAGAGGTATGACCACTCAAAGGCTGTCGGAGTCTTAAAGTTTAACTAGTTTAACTTTCTCAACACCAACAAATTTCATGTGTGTCTAAAATCCTGCCGGACATTCTACACTGACTGAGTTTCTTTGTTTCTGAAACGTTTGACTTCAGTTTTTATGAAGCACTAACAGAACAAGGACCTTACTGGAATTGATCATATTCTTTTTCTTCATTAGGAATCTTTGTATTTAATATTCAGCCTGTGTTGATATAAGTCTTTCAGGTCTTCATAGCAGACGTCTTATACTCAGCATCCGCTTTTGTTAGTCCTCATACACAACAACGTGGAGCCCAGAAAACATAATTAGACTATTTTCAAATGTTCATCAGGACAAAAGTGTGTGTTTATGTTGCAGAGTGGATCAAACTGAAGATATCAGGTCAGCAGTGTGAACCTCTGGAGCTGGATGTAGAAGATAGAAGAAGGATTGAAGAGATCAAAAAAGAGCTGCTGTTAAAATACCCCATGAAGGTAAAGCACTTCATCGTCTGAAACGCAGCAACCGCTGTAGAGACGGTTGAAAATTTGAGTATAATGCAACTTGAAACCATGTATTTTAATATTCATTTTGAAATCTCTCTGTCCTCGTCTGCACAGTACAGCTCTCACTGTTAAGGTAACTGGTGTGTGTCAGTTGGTGGTTTGAAGCCTCTTTTTTTTTTTTTAAACAGCGTGCTGTTAACATTGCTTTGTTTGGTTCCATTGTTCTTTTGCTTTCTCTTTGCACGTGAGAGTTTTCTACAAACTCTTCCCTGGTCTGGATCCAGGTTTGGCTGCAGTGCTGAAACGTTTTGATGTGACTCTTTGTGAATTCGCAGGATGAGGTAAACATTTTTTAGTCTCATGGTTTAACACACTCTTTTGCTTTTTCTTTCTTCCTCCAGAGCCAGTTGAGTACAGATACAGAGAGCAGCGCAGGATCCAGTGTCAGAGTCCAGAGGGGACAGGATCCACCTCAGTCTGCAGGGATGTTCACCACCCCCGAAGATGCAACCAACCTGATGTCTCAGCCTCTGCAAGGCCTCAGAACCAACCTGTCTGACTCCAGCGTGCAAAACCCTCATCGCCCAGAAACTCTAGAAGCTCAAGTACAGAAGATTGCTGCTCGAGAAGGAGTTACCCTCCCCAGAACAAACCCTCGGGCCCTCACATCCATCTCTATCGCCACCTGCAGGCGCTCCACTTCCCCTTCTCCCTCCACGTCGCCTGCACCTCCCATCAGCCCAGCCTCAGAGCCACTCCACCCGAGCGAGCTCTCTACAGCAGACGAACACCTTAAAGTGAACAGGCCACCCCCTCAAAATGAAGAAAAGACAACCAGAGAGCCGACATCAGGGTTTGAACCAAGCAGTCGTCTCTACACCTGGAAGCAAAGCCGAAACTCTCAGTTAATGTCAGGAAATCAGAAGAGGCAGGATGCTGTGGGAGGCCAGTTTGAAAAACCTCCCTCACCCTTGCAGGTTTTAAATAGAGAAGATGTGAATATCACTGATGATAACACACAAACTTTTCATCGAGATGATTTATTCACCCGGGACATCTCTGCGTCTGGTGTCCATGGAGCTGAAAGAACCACAGAGTCTTCCACCTCTGAATCTCCTGCCGCTGCAGCTCACGTCTCCCGTGTCCATCTCACTCTGTCCACGAAAGCAGCTGATCGCAGCTTGGCCTCCACTGAGCGCTCCAGTCCAGCGGATGCTGCTACAGTGTTGCCACGTAGAGAATTTGTTCTCCTCAGACACTCTCCATCCACAGCCAGCAGCCCGGACGAAGGTGTCGGTCTGTCCAGTCCACCAGAGTGGTACGAGACCAGAGGGCCGAGAGAACAGCGGGGGCTTGAACGAGCTGACACCTCCACCCTGTTTAAATCTGTGGTTCCTCATCAAAGAGTCACCTCCGCACCCAAACAAGCCTTCACACCACGTCACAGACCGGACGTTTCCAGAAGAGCCTTAACCAATGAATCACCAGGTAGGGTTGTTATGAAAAAGACTTGTTTTTAATGTGAGAGAACTATTGAAGGACTTTTCTCCTTATTTACATTGCAGCAGGAGAAGCATGGGACCTTTATAATCCGTGAATTTACACAACTGACAACTCAGTCCATTCTTTTGAATTGTTCACAAATACGTTGAATAATAATTATTTGAGACATTACAAAAACTAAAAGTAGATAATAATGTAACAGACCAGGAAAAAAAGATGAATTTGCTGTTTTCCTGTGAAATATCTGTGACGTTTGGGTTATTACATTATGATATTTAATTTTCTGTGCCCTCTCGCTTTACGTCTTGCAGCGGTGCCTGTTCTGCTGCCTTATAAACCCCGCGGCAGTGAGGAGCTCTTCTACGTCCCTCAGTTAGAAGCTGACGTCTCCTCTACAGGCCCCTCTGACACCTCCATGGAGAGCTCACACACAGGTACGACACTTTGACTGAGCTGCTTTGTTAACAAGTCCAACTCCGCTGAAGATCTGATCATCTAACAAACGTTTAAATGAAACGTTATTCCAGGTTTTTTTTCTTGCTCTTGGAAAATCCCTTGATAAAAACTCTGAAACTTAAAATTGTTTAAAACACAGCAAATTATAAAGTGATGAATTAATGAGTCCAGAGAATTGAATTGTCAGTTGAATAATCTGTGATGAACGAGGCTCTGCTTTCATTTCCCCTGAGCCTGTGCCGGTCGCAGCTGCTCTATTGTAACGTACACCAGGCAGCCCATTAATTATTCATGTTCAGGGGCTGGATGAGACAAAGGCAGAGCTGGGGCCCCAGCAGAGACACAGAGACACAGAGGGACAGAGGGGGCTTTCGAACGTCTTCTGTTCATCTCTGCCTGGAAATTAAGGATTTGTCTCATTTTGAGCAGTTTTATCCGTCCGTTATCTCAGAAATGAAGACAGTGTTGGTGTAGCCGCCATTCGCACCGTCTTTTCAATTCTCACCAGGCTCAGACGACGCTGTGCCCCCACGCTTCAGCAGCGAGGTCCTCGGGCGCCAGGACCCGGGGTTGGACCGCGGCGTCACTACCAGACACACGGAGGGCATCTACAGCAAGAGGCTGAAAACGGCTTCCTTCAAAATGCAAGAGCCCGGACACAGAGGTACGACGACTGTGACGTAAAGGGTGTTGTGTTGAAAGTCTAAATTATCGTTGCAAAGTAGGCAAATGCCTGAGGCCCCGAGCTGAGGGGGCCCAGTAAACAGCTGATTACATCAGTCCACAGCAAAACCCTTAAATGATTTGATGATTTATGTTCAGAAGACTGTAAAGACACCATGGGGGGGGGGGGGGGGGGGGGGGCATCCTAACGAGGCCCCAGGACACTTTCTGCTTGGTAACTGTAGACGTCTGGTTAAAGAGTAGAGCGAGGGATTCTGCTCCTCATCCAGTCTTAACTCCTGATGTGTTTTTCTTGTGACAGATTCCTCTGTGACAGCGGATAAAAGCTCACAAACGAGTGCAAACAGAAGTCCACGTCCGTCCTCTCATGTGTCGGCTGCCTTTACCAGAGTGCATTTGCCAAACAACCAGGAAGCCTCAACGAGAGACCAGGGAACCAGCCCGATGCTGTTTACTCATTACGATCGACCAGAGACGAGCAGAGAGACAGTTCAGCCAGTTCACGTGGAAACGAAGCGTAGGACACGTCATCACCTGGACCAAAGCTCTGTCCCTCAAACAGTAGGACACCAGCAGACGAGGGACCCCGACGCCTCCCAACAGAGCAACATCAGTCTGGATGAGCTGTGGCAGAGGTTCTGTGATCGCTGGACCATCGAGCAGTCTCGCCCGACCAGTGACCGGGAGGCGTCGCTGCTGCAGAGACTGGAGCGTCTGTCCCGTCTCATTCACAGCACGAGGGGGACTCGTTTGTCGGAATTACAGGAGGAAGATCAGGATCCTTGCACCTCAAATCAGAAGCTAGGAAGGAGGAGAGAAGACGCTACGAGGGGAGACAGAAGGCCCAATGTCAGAGAGGATGATGGGAGTTTACTTGAAGAGACAAAACCTCCCGTCCCTCATCAGGCACAGCGAACGTCTCAGCCTGCAGCAGAGAACAGTCACTCCTCCTTCGCCTCCAGTCTGTCCCACAACTCCTCCCAGTCTCTGCACCTCAGTCCCGCAGACGCGTCAGACACCTTGTCCACCGCGTCGGGCTCCATGTCCAGCGTGGACACGGCCCGGCTCGTCCGAGTCTTCGGCTCCCACAGAGTCAAGCAGCTGAAGAGCGGCTCCAGCCTCTTTAAGCTTTACAACACCATCAACAAGCAGAAAGAAGGGAGGGAGCAGAGGAGAGGGAGACACGGAGACGTCCCGCACCTCCTCACGCCGTTAGAGACGACCGGCGCCGACGAATCCTCGGTATGTTCAGTATCCACCGATAGGTTTGGTCCGTTCTTCACAACCCCTCAAAGTGCTGGGTTTTCTGAAGCTTAACATAAAAATGGATTTACTGTGTTCTGAGAAATATTCAGCTTTAAAATATTTAGAACAGACTTTTCTTTCTGAGAACCTTTAATGTAAATATTTGAGCTTTAATTTTCTACAAAGAAAAACACGAAGATTAGTGAAAAGTTGTTTTAACTTCTGAGTCTGTGAATCCTGATAAAAGCTCAGAGATGAGTTCTGTTCTATAACACGTGGTGCTGACGTTCTCTCTGCTCCGATGACCACGATCTCTGAACAGATCTAAACTTTGAATGTTTCCCATCAGGTTCCTGCTGATTCTGTGTCGTCCACCAGCACCTACACCCCCCCATCACACCGCGGACCCTCCAAGAAGACAGTTAAACTGGTCAGCAAAGGAATCCAGACAGGTCAGTCCAACACAAAACAAGGTTTGATAGCACGAGTTTAGAGTTGGTCATTTTCTAATATTTAATGTTTGGGGCTAGAAAACTTTAACAGTAAATAGTGTATTTACATACATGAGCATCAATATGACCTGAAATCCCATCAATTGAAGAACAGATACATCTGATGCTCGACGTAGTAAATATACAATTAAAGTGATTGTTAGAAACAAAACTTCACTCTTTTTTTTTTTCTTTTTCAGCTGGTGACCTGGAGATCGTCCGAAACGCGACTCGGCGCCACACCAGAGACGTTGGAACCACGTTCCCCTCGCCTCATGAAACCTCAGCGTCGGGACGGATTTCCTCTTCCTCACCCAGTGTACAGAGAGGAAGAGGAGGGCAGAAGAAACCCGCTAAGATTCAGTCCTCACAAAAACAGAGGAAGAGCAAGCGGAGCCCCTCAAAGCTTTATCCTGCAGGTACGACGACGTGGATTCAATCTTGTCAAGTTTGTATCTTTGTAATAGTTCAATGCCAGAATAGAACCAGACTGTTGGATTGAATCTCTTCCAGGTGTCTCTTGGTTCATCTCTGCTGACGACCTGCGCTCCGAGGCGAAGAAGGAGAACCAGCAGCAGGCGGAGGAGCCGACACTGAGGCCGAGCACCGCCTGGTTTGAACCGCACAGCAGAACACAAGCGTGGAGAGAACCGCTCAGACAGAGACAAGTCCACGAAGACAGAACCAGACGTCAGACAGAACCTGATCCCAAAACCAAAACAATATCGTCCGGTCTGACGCACGTTTCTCTGCAGGTTGGTTTGTTTATTCCACTTTTTCTTTGTACGTCATCTCTGATAGCGCAGACGTTCATTTGTAGGTGACTCATTATAGATTGTAACTGTTTGAAATGTCCCACTTCTTATTTAAAGTTTTGAACTTTAACGTTTGGAAGAATTTAAGGGGAACTTTAAACAAGAGGCAGAAATGGAGAACGGTCAGTGCCTTCAACCTCACCTTCACTTTCACCACTGTAAGACATGTTCCTCCTCCATCCTGCAGGAGGCGCTGGAGATGTCGCGTCCGGGGTTCATCTCTCGGTCCACGCAGAGGGTGAAGTGTCTGGCTCTGCAGGCGGAGGAGAGGAAGCTTCAGGCCGTCTTCATCGGAGAGAGAGACGAGCTCTTCAACCAGCCCAGAGGACAGGGGAGGCTGCCGAGGCCCGCAGGTACTCCACTGAACACGCTGGAGGAGGAAGATGATGTCCGACTGTTACAGACGTCACACGAGTCTGTTAAGAATCGTCACGTGGTGAAGAAGAGTAAAGGCTCTGTTGTTTTTATTAAAATATCACCGGTTTGTTGTGTTTGTGTGAAGGCACTGCTCTGCTGAGGAGGGCTGTCCCCAGGAAGGAAATGATCCAGAGGTCCAAACAGTAAGTTTCTCTCTTTTTAGAATTTGATGTTATGAATAAAACGTCAGTGAAAAGTCTTTTGTGCTCATACCACAGACGTAAAGAAATCCAAACCACCGACAAACGGATCAGAAAACTCATTAATATGCAAACATGTGCAGAGAGGTGTCACATGACCTAAGACACATGGAGAGCCGGTGGTGTGAGTTTGTTTCCTCCTCATTAAGCTGATGACACTTCAGGCACCAGTTTGAACTTGAAACTTGAAATGTGAAGGAGTTGGAAAAGTTTTATGAACTCGGTGTCCCTGAATTAATATGAACGTTTATACTGATCTGTGATCAGATCAATGACTCTGAGGTAAGAGGAGGAAGTAGGAAGTTTCTTGGATGTATGAAATCTACTGTGGTGGTGAAACTGTCGGTCCAAAATATAAATATTATATCATCATTAGAACTGATTAAACTTAATTAAACCACATTGATATTCAACATTTTAAAATGCTTTAAAGAAACGTATTAACATCTGTTCACATTTACATCACAGTAATTCTGATTTGTGGTCACAGCAGATTCATTTAATTAAATGTGTTTTAATCGTTTCGAAAGACTCTGTGAACGTGTGTGTGTGAACGTGTGTGTGAACCGAACTCTGAGTGATTGATAATCTGTCAATTTACCATTTGAACACTTTGCTGAAACGTCAGCTGTCTAAAGATTTTACCAGAAGATCTCCGATGTCTGGTTTTCAGCCTTTTTGTCTAACGTGTGTTTCTCCTTCAGGATCTATGAGAATCTGCCTGAGGTGCAGAGGAGGAGGGAGGAGGAGCGAAGGAGAGCAGAGTACAGATCTTACCGACTGAACGCACAACTCTACAACAAGGTACAACTCCTTCCTCCTCGCACATGAACCCGACACCTCAGAGGAGCAGCTGTGAAATCTTCTTTAAACAAAGAGAAGCTCAGTTTAGATATTTCAATTTCCTTTGCTGTTGTTTAGCGTGACTTCTGTTTTTACGTGAAACCAGAAGGAACTGATTTTACACAGATTTGACCTAAAGTTTTTTCTCATTTCAATTTTTTCAGAGAATCACCAACCGTGTCCTCGGCAGACGAACAGCGTGGCAGTGATTGTGACTGTCAATGAAACAGAAACTTTTTTCAATCTTTGTAAGAACAAAACTACCTAAATCCACTTTTATTTAAGAACCACATTTTTATAGTTGGTGTTTTTAAGATTATGTTGAAAAGTAGAATTCTACTCAAGAACATAAGATGTGATGTAGTTGGTAAGACTGACTGTGTGTGTTTTATTGTGAAAATAAACCAGGTTTCTTTAAACGTCAGATTCGTCAGTTTGGTGTAAGACAGGAGGCCGACAGCGATTCACTGGCTTTACCGTGTTTATTGATCAGTTTCCAGTGGTGAGAGCAGGAAGCCACATGAGGAGAAGGTACGATAAGATTCCGAACATCAGCTGCTCACGACCATCACAGATAAACACGACGAATAAATAACGTCTGCATTCTCCCTCTGAAGCTTCAGTCACGTAGATGCACTATGCCCATTACTTACAACATAAAACAGTGTAAACACAAATCATCTAAAATCATTCAAATAAAACATTAGATAAATAAAACGTTAGCAGGAGTTAAGGAACTAAAACCTTTTTTAAAAATCGCTCACGTGATGAAGAGAAACAGAGTCTTTGGCAAAGATGTGTTTTTAAATAAAGTTTGGTTGAGTCAAATGAAAAGTAAGGCAGGTGACCGCTCTTCAACACGAGGCTCTGCGGGCTTAAGGCTTGGACAAACAGTAACAGCCAATTTAACGGTTTTACCAAGCAGGTAAACGTCGACAGTAACAACCTACACCAGGCGTTTTATAAATACTACGTAACTTAAATCATATATAATGTTTCATCTGACTAAAGTGCAGTCGAGCTGTTTTAAATAAACAAAGTAAAAGAATTCTACACAGTGAATTTAAGATTAATCTGCATCTCTTGTTCTGTGCAGCAAGAAAACAAACCTCAATCCTGAACACAAACTGTCGTTGACTTTCATGTCACTTCATCAGTTCAGGATAAAACGTCCACGACTTTAAATGGACACATCTAGTTTCTCTTTCCCTTCAGACAGTGGAGTTATAAAAAATGTCCACAACAGTTAAACACACAGACGTGGAGCGACATCCAGTGATTCGGCCGAATATAAACCACACTGCAGGTTCCACACCAGGGCCAAGGCTCAATCAGCACTCAGTAAACAGTGATAATAAGGATTGCAGTGATTCTGGGGAGCATGCAGCAGTGCAGTCATCAATTTACATTTCAGACTCAGTCTCAGTCGTGATAATCTCCATAATCTGCCGTGTTCAGGGCTGTAGTCAGAGCAAAGTTGTCTTATTTCAAATTTTTAAATAAAGAAAAAGTCTAAATAAATCTGTCTTAGGGGCAGTTTCACTAATTATTCTTTAAGAATTAATCTTAATGTTATTATTCTTGATCTTTTTGTTATTTAAGAAATGTTTAAATTATTGGTTAAAAAAAATCAGAGAAGGATTGGAACCATTGAGGTAATCATCAACATTATTTTTGTAAATTGATTAATTGGCTAATTATTTAGATTCTAATGATCCTCACTTTTAAAAACCAAGAGGGTGGAGACTCGGACCACGGCCTGATATCAACCTCACCACTCGTGCAGTGATTCCCTCCCTGTGTGTTCGGCTCTGGAGTGGAGACGAAGCTGATGATGATGATGACGACGAAGGGGTCGGTGGTGTTGCGTTGGTGGTGTAGCGGGCAAGGTCGTGGGGGGGGGCGGGTGGAGTTTAGGTCCGCAGCAGACTGTGGACTCTGTGCAGCTGAGTCTGTGACAGGACGAGACGGTGGACCTGCTCCTGACCGCGGAGACACGGCACCATGACCCGACCCACCAGCACCGTGTCGCCCTGCCTCTCCTCCTTCGCCTGAAAGACACAGAACATCAGATCTCATGAGAGAAGGTGCGTTGATAAGTCTCCACATCTACGACTGGTTAACGACCGAACGCGGTTTTAATGAATGTTTACTGAATTATTTCATTTTATTGTTTGCCAACAGCTTCAAGGTTGTAAAGTCTTTAACAGCGGTTCCAGCTCAAGTGTCACAGCTGAGACTGAAACAGAAAGAGATGAAGAAGTTTGCGTATAACAGCTTCTAACTCCACCTTCACAAACGCAGTCGAAGGGAAAGTGGCGAAGTCGGACGTCACTCGAGCTCCGGGCTGCTGGTTGACCACGTGCTCGGCCACCTCGTCCTGATGGAAGAGAGAGAAAACACTTTACTGCATCACCGACGCTGCTCGGTGAGGAGTTCAGGGACGCATCAGTGCGTTGAGTTCTTTCGTTAGTTCATTCCGGTGAGTTTCACCTTCAGTCGGCCCAGAGTGTCGCTCAGAGACTGGAGTCTGGCAGTTTGTTCCAGCAGCTGAGCACTCGGTGTCACTGCAGGACAGAAGACAACCAGCGGTCAATGACATGTAATAACAAAGGTGTCACAGACAAATCAGACCAATGTCTTTCAGATCCCACCTGGAGATTTCCCCGTGATGTCCACCACCTTGACGTTGGCGCTCATTTGCAGCAGAGTCTCCAGGAGCTGGTCAGTCTTGCGGTAGAGGGCGCTGGAGAGCACTTCAGGACGTCCTCCGTCTCTGGAGGGGAGTTTGGTCACATGGAGCGGAGGCAGAGCGGCGAGCTGGGCGCGCATCTTCTCAGCCTGAGAGAGAGAATCATGTAACGTTTAGTCACAATGAGACTTGACAAAGACTGAGCGTTCACATGTTGGTCAGGATTTCTTCTTCTGCTTAGTTTGGTTTGTTGGTCGGTGGTCAGTCAGTGTTTCCCTCAGTTCCTCTTTATTTGTGGAAAACAGACGTGTCCCTGATCGTATTTGGAAGCTGTGATCAGAAACAGGTGTTCGGTACCTTCATCCTGTTGTTGTCGTTCTTCAGCTGTTTGATGCAGAGTCTCTGAGCTTCAATCTGCTGAGTCAGCAGAGGGGAGTCGATCACCTGGACCCCCGAAGCTGAGGTGACGCCGGACATCATGTTGGCTGTGGACGAGGACAAGGTCGCGTTATCATCAACGCTCGACCCGACGGCTTCCACCGATGTTTGGTGAATGTTTACATGCAGTAAAAACTCAATGCAGCAAACACACAGCTTCACGTTGTACAGTCTGTTGACTCCGTTTACAGAAGTGACCGAGTCGTCGATGGTCAAAAATTTAAAAATTAAAAATTAAAAACATGCGAGCAGGAGATCGTGTACACGACAAAACACAGATCATATAATATTTACACGGAACAGCCTTCGTGATTTAAAGACAGGGTTCCTGCAGGCTTCAGGACATTTACACATGTTCCACCATCAAACTGCTGAGTATGAAAACGAAGCTGAATGGAAAAGTCCAGCGTCGCAACTGTTTTAGATAAAGAAACATTTATTAAGTAACCTCGAGAGGAACATGGTGTAAATTAATTTACTGAGTCCTTGTCATGACCTGCAGGTTCCCTGAGTAAAACATGCGTGTAACATTTAGCTGCTGGATCATGCATCATTAACACGTTTGATTTTGATGGTTCAGACATCATGCAGGACCAGAGACACACACGAATACCTTTTTGTTCCTCTGCAGAAGGTAAGAGGTTAAAATAAAGAGGAGGTCAGTGTTTGTTACAAAAGGAGAAATTAAAAACAGGAGTTTTTAGTTAAAGCGATGATGAATAAACTTTTCATTGCTCTGTTGGATTTGAGAATCTAGTTTATCCACCACGTTAACACAACACAGGATGAATCTGTTTCTGTGAACGAATGAAACGAAGGATTTCATAGTTTCAAAGTATTAAAAAGACAAACTCGTGAGAGATTCATTCATTCGTTGAACTATGGCCGTGCGGTTTCCCTCCACTCACCTCCTGCTATTCCCGTGACGATGGAGGCGATTCCTGACGGGCCGGTTCCCCTCAGCCCGTCGATGGTCATCTTGGACTGGCTGTTGATTCGCTGCTTCAGCTCGGCCTTCTCCGACTCCAGCTGGTCGATGTCGGCCTGCAGAGCGTCCATCGTCTCCTCGAACTCCCTGCGGAGAGAAGAGAAGAGCGTCAGGCAGCTGTCAGCGTCGTGGTGAATCCACATGGTGAGGTCGTCTTCGTCCTCACTTCTCCTTCTTCTTCAGCAGAGTCTGAGCTTCGTCCAGTCGAGTCTGAATCTTCTCCACGCGCTCGTCTGCGTCTTTGGATGAACTGTCCAGTTTCTTCTCCAGCAGACTGAGGCGGATGTTCGCCTCGCTCAGCTCCTCGCCCTGAAAACACAAACAGGTTTTCACACATTAAACATTCATCATCTATCACTGCTGATTCATTTAGAAGTTATCTTTGGGGCTGATCGGCTGTACTCTGCTTTATTTCACAGATCTCTTGGTTTTCTGGAGCTTGTTGTGTCTAATCTGGAATCCGGAGCTCAATGATACTAATATTTATCTTTGAGTGAGTTTTTAACTCCTCTGACTTTCTACCTTGATCTTGAGAGACTTCTTCAGCTCTTTGATGACCGTTTCTCTGTCCTCCAACTTCATGCCCAGACCCTCTGCATCCGTGATTTCTGCCCGAAGAGCCGCCGCCCGCACATCGACAGGTGGAGGATTCTGGGAGACGACAAAGAGAAAGTAACATCCTGCTTTAACAAAACCGGCGCAGCCAGCCCCCCCCCCCCCCCCCCCCC